CATATTTCAGGCAGTCTTCTCATTAAATATATTCCTGACACAGAGTTTTCAAAACCAACATTTATTTTTAACAGCTAGTTATACATTTACAGTTGCAATTTAAGAAAAAATTGGTGGCATTTTTATCTGCAGCAGTGTTCGTCAGGTAACCAGATTAATATATCAGAATATGTGGTCTTTCTACAAGTAAATCTGGAGTTTTTCTTTACCCTATTAAATATCTTTAATAAGGAAAAAGTCTGTAATATGTAAAAGCGATCCTACAATATTCTCAAAATCATGTAATTTAAACTATTTCATCTGGTGTGTAAACATAGATTTTAAGGAATATATAAACATTTTACTATGAGAAATACAAATTTTTGAATTTCTACAGATAAGAATTTGAAATCCATGCTTCCATATAAATATTTACCTGACTTAAACTGATCTTTTATAAATCTGCTTTCAAAAACTTAACATAAGTATCTATCTTCAGCAATATTTACATAAGGCCCCAGAAATTAATACAGGATACCTATGGTAGTGAGTAAAATATTGCATATTACTGCAGAATAAATGAACAATAATAATTGAAATAACTGAATATTATTGAAGAATATTGCAGAACTTGCCATTGCATATTATTGCAGGAATGAATTCTTATTCTCAGAATTTCCATTCATGAAAATCCATAAATTTGATAGTTATCACAAAGATTTTTTGAGAAAAGGGGATTATTTCAGTTATGAAAAACATCTCTTTCACTGACTTTCTTTTCTGAGGGCGCCTGCATAAAAAATGTAAATTTCAAAAATTTTTCCTGAACCGTTTCATATAACTGCAGTGAAATTTAGCAGAAGGCATACCACTTGCTTTATTAACAAATATATAAATGACCATAAATAAAACAATTTTATATGAGAAAAAATTGTCTCAAACAAAACTCTGACCAATTCTTCTAATGTAAATTCAACAATAACAATTATGAATTTTCTATTTGTTATATAACATTTTTTAAAATATACTAGCTTGTTTCACACCTTCCTCAAAAAAATGATTCAGAAAATTATATGTTTTATATCAACAACCACATAATACATATTTTTGCTTGCATCTGAAATGAATACGCATTAGCCCTTTCCAAACTTTTGCTCGTGAATACTGCTTCCTAAATTATGGTGTAAGCATATGTAAGAATGAGAAACAAATATTTCACAGTTTCATTCTCTTTGTTACTTGTTTCTCATTTTACTAAAATATCATTTTTTGAATGCCATTACATATTATTATTTTCTGTGTGCTTTGACTATATTCTTAATCTTCACATGAGTTAATAAAAATTATGATGAAAATCATAAGTGTTTTGATGCACACTAATGATTTTCATCATAATTTTTATTAAATTAGTGTTTGAAGTAATAAAATTTTTTTATAGACTAATATGAGAATATGCCACATAAAGGCACTCTGTAAAAAAGCATTTTACAGTATGCTCTAGTCTTTTACAATAAAAAAGCAATTTTCTTTAAACAACAACAAAGTACTTATATCAACTAAATCAAGCCTGTGTCATATGTTTTATTTAGAGGACAACAACTATTTATTGACAAATCTATTACTTCTCAAAAATGAAGATTATTTTTTCCTACTTCACAAATTTAATGCATGAATAATGAATTATTTTAAGCAATTTTAATAGCAGACTGATAAGAGACAGATTCAACTTAGACTGTTTAACATCTGGAACTCTATTTTCCCATTTATCAAAGTTTACCACTCTAATACCAAAACTGATGTAGCAGAAAAATAATACAATATATACTACTTCTACATTAATATATTACAGCAGTAAAAATTCCCAAAATACAATTTAAACAAGAATAATATAAACTCACTTCATGATTGTTTACATTCTTGCTATTTGCCACAGCAACTTAAAGTGAGTAAATAAGTCACATACAGCATAAAATAGACATCACTTCTAAGATGTTAAAGTATTAAAAGAAATCATTTTAATTACATGTTGGTATCATTTTTAACATTATAAACATTTTATCTGCAATTGATAGGCAAAGAGAAAATTTCCTAAAGAAAATAACAAAATGTCAATGATTTTATTCAGATGATTAAATTCCTGTTCTAGATTTGAGATTTTATCCATCTGAATTTTCAAAAGTAGTCACTGATTATAATCAAAATTTTGTATAATGAAAAATATTTTTAATTTTTTCATATCTAATGAATAGAGAAAAGCTAGAGAATTTTCACAAACATGCATGCGTTTATTTATTGGGTGACTCAAGTTTATATGAGGGCATTTCGAAAAGTAAAGATACACCGTATGCCAGAGGAAAAGAAAAGTTTTGGTGAGCAAGTTGGCAACACAGGTGTTAACCCTTGAACCGTTAACTTTCTCCTCGCGGTCGTTTGGCATTTCAATGCTGATTCTGGTTGGAGAAGGTCGTGTTTAAAATGGATGCGCCGATTCAAAACCCCGCCAAATGCGAAGTGCACTCCGTCATACATTTCCTTCATGCAAAATTTCAGCGACCAGCGGATATTCACAAAAAATTGTTTCTGTTTATGGAACATTATGAATCGACAAAACGTAACGAAATGGTGTCGTCATTTCTCTGAAGGTAGGACCGATGTTCATGACGAACAAAGAACAGGTCAACCATCTGTGATCTCTGATGCCCTTCTTCAGAGAACAGAGGAAGCAATTCATGCGAATAGACGTCTCAAATTGAAAGAATTGCATCAGATCATACCGGAAGTGTCAAAGACAACTTTTTATGAAGTTGTGATTGTCAAGTTAGGGTACAGGAAATTGTGTGCACGCTGGGTTCCAACAGGCGGCAACCTTCTATGATTGTGGGATACAAAAGCTTGTGCACCGACTTAACAACAAATATTTGGATAACGAGGGTGATTATGTCGAAAAATAATAAATAATCCAGTTTATAAGATGTAACTGACGTTTTCTAAATAAATGGTTTTTTTTTAGGAATGCGAGCCATTGTATCTTTACTTTTCGAAATGCCCTTGTATCTCGATCATCAACCTTCAATGGTCCATTAACTTACAGAAACTCTGCAAACAGTGATTGCAATTTAGGTGACAAAAGTCCATGGCTATATTCAAATAATCCATAAATTATTTTATTGACCAACTGTTGTATAAATATTAATCATAGCTTAGAAGAAATATGCCTATATTGAAGAAATATTTTTACAATTTGATCTATAGCACAGCCAATCGACATTTACTTGAAAGCTCTTATTTTTATGAAGCTAACTAAAGGCAATGAATTAAAAATCAAATATCATGAGAATGTACAGAGACTAACATCCTCAATTAAATTTTACACCTTTATTTCTTCACAATTTATATCCAAAAATTTTCAATTTTGAGAGGCTGAATACCTCTTTAATATAGTGCTAATTAGGTTGATAGCCTAAGAAATGTTTTAATAGTAAATTAACATAACTAGAAGTTCCTCGTGATTTAGAACTGACTGACAGTAACACTTTCTTTAAAAGTTATAAAAAAAAAAAAAAAAAAAAAAAAAAAATGCAATTTGTATAAAAAAAATTGGGAGGAAGGAATCGTGATTTTTATATGCATTTTTATTTTTTTTAAAGCTTTCTTCCTTTGATATATTAATTTAAAAATGACTGCAGGGGGAAAAATTTAAAAATTAATTCCAAAATAGAATAAATAAATAATTAGCATATATTCTGAGATTTACTATTAAAAATCAATGACATTATTATGCAAGTAACTTGATCTGGAAATATTACTCAAATATGCAATTACAATTTCCAGCATTAAGGAGAACTTAAAAACCTTTAATTATTATATTTCAATGCCATACTCAACAAAATAACAATAGATCAATCAAATATCTGAAAAGTTTTTAAATTATGACGAATGTTGAAAAAAACCATTTCTATTTCACATACCTCTTATGATTCTGACACAATCCCATACAAAATGTAAAATAATGCATGGCATTAAATATATTTAAACCTCTTCTATAAATGCATAACACAAAATTTCTCCTTCTTCTCTTTATTCACAAGAGTATAAAGCTATTTTAATTATGAATACTTTCTTGTTCATTTATGGAAAATGCAAACATATTTTATGACTAGAATAATTTTTAATTACTTTTAAGCAACATAAAGCAGTTTCATTTTTCAAGGCTTTACACGCTTTTCAGTTAATTTTGTTAATTACTATTATTAATAAAATGTACACTGTGCTTTGAAAAAAAGAAAAGGGGGAAAAAAAAAAAAAAAAAAAAAGTACAGTTCTTTATCTTTCATTCTACTGGGCCAATTGTCAAAATTCAACTTGCGTTTTTCATGTCTCGAGAGTGTGACTTAGTATTTGTATTAAATTTATATATAGCATTGTTTTAATGTAGGTATTTTGATACAAAATTGGACTTTTTCTGAAATGACATGGCAATTTTTTTCCACATTTCGATTCTACGACTTACACTATGTCAAACTGCCAAGTTTTGTAAAAACTCGCAAAAGTAGATTTTAAAAAATTAGCTCTCAAAATTTTAGCTCCTCGATGTTAAACTTATTTGATTCTCCCTTTAATATTTCTAAATTAGGTTCATTCCAAATAAAACTTGCCCATTTTTTATGATATATTTTTAAAATAATTTTTATAAATTTCTCGAAAACAATTTTGAATTATAACCTATACAATTTGTGCCATCATCTTAAAGTAGATGCATTGATAAATCTATGATCTAAGCATACCTGAAAAAAAATTAGAGTTTTTTTTATTCAAAATTTCCTAAGATACGTGAATTTACAGTTTGGCACATTTTGCAATTTGGCATACTTATTATAAGTGATAATAACGAAAATGTAGTTTACGTATTCTGTTAAAATTATTTTAAAGTATGAACGATGACTTTTTTTCCACTCCTGGACAATGAAAAAAAGGAATGGAAAATAGGTTGCTATAAACTAAGAATTTCACCAAGTGAATTAATTATTCTTGGTGCAAACTGAAAAATATCTGCCAAGATACATTTTAAAATTTCTCATCAGAAATTACAAAATTTAATACCTAGGCATAATTTGATTCGTAGAATTGAAATATGGAAAAAATGTGGTTATGTTGTTTCAGCAAAAGGTCTGATTTTGTATCAAAATACCTATGTTAGGACAATGCTAAATATAAATTTAATACATATCTTGTCATGCTTTCGAAACATGAAACACAAGTTTAATTTCATCAATCAGCCCAGTAGAATGGGAGATATAGATCTGTCCCTCTTTTTTGCGCAGTGTACATTATTTTTTACATCATTGCTACACACTTCATCACATATTCAAACTGGCTCAAAGATTTCAATCAAGAGCCACATATATGCATGAATTCAGCATTTGTTTCTAGGTGATTAATTGCCATCTGAAGCAAAAACATGATTTCAGAGTTAATAAATACACTACATAAATAATGGGTCTTAATTACAAAGTATAATTTTTGAATATTTGCTTGGTAATATTTATGGCTCACACATTTGTATATTTGAGCTTTTAGAGCTTCCAATGTTCAACACCCTTTCTTAGCAAAAAGGAATGAATGCTTTCTTTATATGGTTGCATCAAAGTATGTTATCAAATACAAAATAGTGATATATTTTACATCCATCTTGCACAAATACTGTCTTAATATTTAAACAAAAAGAAAATGCAATTTAAGAACACATAAATGACATGAAAATGTTTTAAAATTTAAGTTTATATTAAAAAAACAACAATATATGAAAATAAGTTCAAATATGATTGCAACATTTTACATGCTATGAATCAATATTTTACAAGACAACAAAATTCACATGCCTGTCTGCCAGATCCATAAAAATGATGAGATGAATACAGAAAAAGTTTTAGAAAAATTTTACAAGACATCAAGAAATATAAAAGTAACCAAACCAAAATTAAACTCAGAGTAAAACTGCTTCATGAAGTACATCATATTCATCATATTGAATTGGGGGATCAGAAGGTAGTGGTCCTACAAGTGCTGACATGCTTCGATGTGCAAAATCATGTACTGGATCTAAATACATGATTAAGATATCATTATGTATTCGGGGTCTTGAAAACGGTTCACTGCCACATTTCATACACAGAGGCCCTCCAGGAATTGTATGTCCATTGGCCTGCAAAATACTTTAACTTAAAATATACTAGTAATAATTAAGCACTGCAATAAAATTAGAAATACATACGATTTTAAACATATAAGTAATCTTAATCCCACTCACTAGTTATCAGTATGCTATATAAAAACTTCTACATTACAAACAAATCAGTACTTTAAATCTCAAACAAGTACCTTACTATGGATTCCATTACCTATGTTAACAGCAATCAAATAAGCACACACAGCACTTATTTACAGTTTAGCTCCTGATTTCTTTTGCTACAAATACTTTTTAATAAATTTTAATCTAAAATAATAAAGAAGCTATTAGAAGTTACAAGTCATTGGGAAGAAAATTACTCAAAAGAATGAATGAAGTACACATTTGAGAGTTCATGGGACCTATGAATACAATTAGGGATTAAAAAACAAACTATTTAAATTAACATTAGATAAAACTAAAATTAAAAGCAAATAAATAATAAAAAGGCAAATCTGTTAAGCATATTTGATAAATAACAGAAAATCCTGAAGCAATGTTCTCAAACATTCACTACATACATATAAAAAATTATATCATTAGAAAAAAAAAAAAAAAAAAAAAAAAAACGAATTGAGTACTTAATTAAAGAAATAAAATACCTTTTTTTCACCTAAGCACACTGGCTGATTTAAAAAAAAAAAAAAAAAACTTATGCTAAATTTAATAAAGTTTTCCCTTCAAGTACTATTGAATTTAATACCTTTTTTTTTTTTTTTTTTTTTTTTTTACTTTTTTTTTTTTATTTTTTTTACATGAAACAACTTTTTTCCCCATAGTTCCCACTTTATTAGTAACTTTTCTCTTTGATTAGATAGGTAATCAGAAAAAAAAAATTTAAATAATATTATTTGCTTAATTTCTACTTTATTAGCAATAAATAAATGTTGTTTGGAAGGTTAAGACTAGTATGCATAAGACAAAAAAAGCGGAGAAGGAATGTTCTACTATATCATTCTCATGACATAATATCACAAATGCTTATATACACTATACAAGCAAACTACATTAAAACCTGATTAACATGAACTCGCTTAAGACAAACACTCGGTTAACACAAACGAAATTTTGGTCTTGGCAGCTGTGTATATGATCTTACAGTATATATTAATGCTTGAAAAATGCAGCATCATGAATGAAATCTATTTCACATACTACTGATAGTGGTACAAATAAATTATCAAACTTAAAATATAAAAAACAAAACAAATGTTGGAAATCAGTACTTTGTGTCCGCCATGCTGAGCAATGAGAGCCTGTACACATCGTGACACTGAATCATACAAGTTCTGAATGTAATCCTGGGGAATGGCATTCTATATGGCTTTGAACTGATGCCAAAGTTCAGTCTTAGTTTGTGTCAAACCAACTATACGAGCGAGTCACTGACGGAATACCAGACATGCACAATGGGCAACATATCTGGGGAATAAGCAGGCCATGGAAGAATCAAAACCTGTTGTGTCCTAAAGAAGGCTTATGCAGTCTGGGAAACATGTGCATAGGCATTATCCTGCTGAAATACATTGGCCAGAATACACTGAAGAATGGGGATGACCTCTGGATCCACAATTTCTCTTTAGAGATCACTGTTGAAGTTGCCCGCAATGGGATTACATGGGATTCAGAATTATGTCAAACCATGATGCCAGGTGTTTGCACAGTATGACACAATAACATACTGTGGGAGCAGATGTTCCCCTCTGAAACATCAGGCACATACTCTTCACCAAACTGTAACGAGATTCATCAGCGAAAACAACTTGTTGCCACAAGGCATGCAACACAGTGGTGCCATGCCCATTGAAGTCGGAGGCGTCTGTAATTCATTGACAGGGGAGCCCTGTGTAAAGGAACCCTTGCACACAGTTCATGTGCATCAAAGGGCAGTGAACTATGGAACTAGACACAACAACTGTAGCACACTCCAACGTCATGCTAACACACAAGAAGATGCTGTACAATATGTCACAGCCATGCGGATGAGGTGTCTGTCATCCCGTGCTGTTGTGCACCCCACTGCCAGTATTTCACCTTGTTTGGTACTCCTCAGTCCATTTATTTCAACCATGTATCGCTGTTGTGGCATTACACTGTGTGCAATCGATGTGGTCTCGTTCAAACCCCATTTGTTGTTGGTATGCCACTTCTGCTGTTGACAAGGCACACTGACCACTAATTAAATGTTTAGTGCAGACAGAAAAGACTAAACAAATTTCAACACAACTTTACAGTCCTTTACATACATGAAAAAAGCGGTCGGTTCTCCTTCCACGCATGCACAATCATTTGCATGTCTTACCTCACTTTACATTTCCTGTAAGTTTGGTTCAATTTGCATAACTCCTGTACAGTGCTGCAATTTTCACAAATATTAGTGTATAAATGATTAATATGTAGAAAAAACTATTCTAAAATTTTTTTGCATAACTAAATATACACTTTAATTAATCACATTAAAAACTAGGAAGTAAATTTCATGCAAGATTTCCTCAAGCTAAAAAATTACTTGTTGAACGTTTATACTGTTTGCAACTTTTAAAACCAACAATTTTTTCTATAAAAACAATCCCTAAACAGAAGACAGCTGTATCAGAAAGCACTAGTATCTTCTCCCTTTAATCGAAAATTCTATAGTGTTAGCTTTCTATTTAACAAGTTTGTTAAACTTACAAATAAGTGGAAGCATACACTTGTTCCTACTAAACAATCTTTGCCCCCCCCCTAATTAGATATAAAATATCATTTTCTTAAATAAGCCTTTATCTCATGGATTCAAATATGCTTTTCATTTTTCCCCTCCATACACAACTTTTGTATTATAAGTAATACTAAAATACACATGTCAAGTACTTGATGCAATGCCAATGAAAGAAAACTATCAACTGCATTTAAAATGTGTAACTTTTGCACTCAACATTATTTTGCTGTCAAGAAATGCACCTGAATTTTATTACGTGAAATACATAATACAACAACATCATGGCACAAAATCCAACAATAATCTCCTAAAATAAATCCTAAGAGAATCTCTGCAGTAATTTTATACCTTTATGAAAATCCTCTTTCTGCTCATCAATAACTGGCACTCTTGGGATTTTATATTTTATGCAATAAAAGTTTTCACTAAAAGAATGGCCAATTTAATGTCTTTTAAATCAAATTCTGAAAATGTGAATCCCCCAAAATTCTTTGGTATGGGAAAACTTGTCTGGTACTTTTACATGTAAGAATTATATGCATGGCTATCATATGCATATTCTTTAATAATTCTTTAAGAAATTATGAATTTTAGTTTAATTTCAGCAACAGAAAAACAAGAATCTCTCGGATATAACTGATTAAATATTAAATGCATGTTAAATACACATCTGCTATTTAGAGTCATCAGAACTGTCATCAGATTGTGATGAGTTGTGTAATATTTTTTGTTATCTGCTACAGCTTTGGCAGTGTTTTCATAAATAGATGAATTCATACAGATATTTCTTTCTAGGTGTAAAATTATAAATACTTTAATATCTTTTTGATAATGAATTCTTAAGATTGCATCGTAATTTTAATAAAAATGTCAGTACTCACAGAGAATCTATACAGCTTCAGTAAAACACTTTTATAGAGCTGAGCGATAAAATATGTTATATTCTACCAACTTTTAAGAAGTTTAAATATTTCATAATAAAGGAATTCATGCAAATTTTAAGGAAAAAAGTGTCAAGGAGTTTCTACTCACCAAAAGGATCTTTCGACGAACTAGAACAAGAGTTGTGTGAGGAACAAATCTATCTTTGCAATGAGCACACACCAGTTCTTTACGGTATAATGCTGGATTATTAGATGAAACAGGATATTCAAATTTCTCCTGAAAATAAAGACTATCAATTTTTCTCCAAACAGAATTATTAATATATACAAATATTTCATAATCATATTCTTAAGCATATTACGAAATGCAGCATTACCATCTTATAAAAAATTATAAAAACCATGACATTATATGAATTATTATAGAAGAAACAGTAGACTAAAAAAATACAATTTCACCTGATAAAACATAAGAGCTTGCATTAATTTATCAGGCAAAAGTAGGCATCTTTTGGCTCGAGTAGCAGCAACATACAGAATACTACTTTCTTCACCATACTCATCTGTTATGAAACACATAAAAACACCAATGTTAATGACAGTCTGGTTTTTGAAAATTATCACAAAACAAATATTTTAAGAGTAATTTAATGTAACGCCTGATTAGGTGTTGGCCAGTAGGATGAGCACCTAATTCATTTAGAGATTTGCAAATGTGACTTTTTGAGAAGCTATAGTTTTAACTTATCTCACTTGTGTGGCCATTTGGATATGTGGGTGTGTATGATAAAGACATCTTTCGGTTGTACTTTCTGCCCTATTGTAGCTGGTCTGGCAGATTGAAGTTGGCTAGTTATGCAGCCTGTTACCCTTAAGCGTTTCACAACCTGCAGGACGGCTTTCTATGGAGGATGGAGACCCGCAGGAAAACGTTGCTGATACAACCGTGCTGCCAATTGTGCCTTGCGCCCACACTGACCATAAAGCAGAACCATCTCACAATAATCATTTTATGAAAGTTGCTTCATGACCATGAGCTTCAACATACAACCTTCAGGAGATATCTCATTTATAGCTGTCTCAGGTGTGAAGTTCATACACAATTTGCATAATGAACAAATTAGCACACCAAGTTCAAGTTGTGTTCAGTTAATGCGTTTTGCGACACGATTGTGCTCAATCTGCATATTGTCTACTCCTTTTGTAAAGACAATCAGTACAAGGATGCACCCCATGGGGTTTTAACCCCATTCCTCTCGACTAAGAATTACAAATGATACCAATGCGCCGTTATGCGGGCTCGTTTTTTAATTTAAAAGATAATCTTTTCTTCTTTCATTCAAGTTTTGCGATATCACAGCTTCGTAAATAGTAAAGAAACAAATATGCATTTTCAGCGCTCTGTGTTTAGCATTTATATTCATAAGGTGTCTTTTTGTACTAAATCAAATTCTCCACAACTTTGTGATCCACTATTTCTTCCTCTCTTGTATTGTTTTCAAGATAGGTATGCTAACTCCTCCGTTTTCCACAAGATGACGCTGTAAGCTTTCTCATTTAGTAGCATATAACCACTTTACTAACACATAAATTTTAAGACTATAGCTGCAGCCATTTGGTAGTTAAACAGGTGGTACCAGATTTCAGTGGGCACCCTGTATATCTATATACAGAGAGAGACACAGAGACTGATATAGATATACATACACACAGATTACACATATGTGTGTGTGTATTATATATACGTATATTTATGTGGTGGTATATATGTATGTGTTGGTATATATGTGTATATATATATTATGTGGGTGTAATGATTTGATGGTGCAGATTTCTTGTAGATTCCCAAACTGCACCCAGAGCTGACGGAACTATGTAGATGGAAATAATGGATTTGCAGACAGATGGGGCCAAATTTTATATAATTTTATTATTGGACAAAGCATTTTTGAGGAGACGATATTTGCTTCACACAGGATTCTGAGTTCATTATGCACCCTAGAATTTTAAAACTAGTCAATCTTCGAAAAATGGATAATACAGCGACCCAAGCGGTGTGTGAAAGCTAGAGTAGGTAGGTAGGTGAAAGAGAAAGCATAAGTGGATTGCAGCAGTATTTATAGTAAAATATTCTTTAATCTGATTGGTTAAGAATTAAATACAGTGCAGAAGGTCAAAATAACATAATGCCAAGGCTGTGGAGTCGGTAGGGAAAATGACCGACTCCAACTCCTTCATATATATGTAAACATATACACATAGGCACAGCTTATTTTTTTAATATAAAAGAAATAATAAATGCTAGAGGGAAAAAAATTGATGCATAACAAATTTTTTATATTAATTAGCATTTATTTTGAAATGGAAAATCTGGCATTAGTAATACCTAAGAAACAGGAAAACTTCGGCTAGATCTTCTTTGTTAGAGGACCACAGATCTGATTTGATAAACTTCAGATCTGAAAAAGAGTCTTTCCACGCTGACTTGAGTAGGAAGAAGAGCTGTTATTGTTAGGGCTACTTCCTTTAACTTTTCAGGATAGATTTTTATAAGTTCTATGCAAGAGCAATCATATTTATCTATTTCTTCAAAGGCCGTTTACAAATCTTGTTTGTATTTTTTCATTTTTATATCTAAAGTCTCTTGGTTATTTATTTTCATTCGCTTTGCTTTAGCGTTTTCAATATTATCCAAATATTTTTCAAAATCTAATTCATGAATGGAAGACGATGACAGAGACTCAGTTACAATATCTGCAGTTTGACTGTCCTGATTTGAATATTCCAGTTGTTCTGATAATAATTTCATTCTTAATGAAAGCTCATAGATGGCTTTCTTTGCCTTTCTAATTGGTTTGCCATCCAACAAAATTCGGCGATTTGCATCTAAATTCCATTATATCATACGAGGGCCATCCAGGAAGTAGATTACGTTTCCGTCTGTGTCCGCTAGGGGCGGGGCTAGCGCGGCCGTCTTGGGGTCAGAGCGTTGCGCAGCTCAGTCTGCATCTAGCCGTGCTAGTGAGAGGTTCGTGCTGTGCTCCGTTCAGATACTGTGACGGTTTGAAATGTCTGCGTTAATTGAAAATCCCGCGAGCTGCGCTCAGTAATAAGGTTTTCTGACTGCAAAAAACTGTAAACCGATAGAAATCTATCGGCAGCTTCGTGAAGTGTATGGGGACAACATTATCACTGAAGGTGGAGTGCGTCAGTGGGTCATAAGATTTCAAAATGGCCGAACCAATGTTCACGACGAAGATCGAAGTGGGAGACCCAGCATAGTGACCGCCGAACTTCTCGAAAAAGTCGATGCTAAAGTCCGTGAAAATCGAAATTTCACAATAACGGAACTTTCTTTGAGTTTTCCACAAATTTCGCGAAGTTTGTTGCACGAAATCATCAGCGAAAAGCTTGGTTACCACAAGTTTTGTGCAAGATGGAAGGCAAGAAGAGGTAACGAAGTGGTTGAAGGCGCAGGTGGCCGAATTTTTCGACGAAGGAATTTCCAAGCTCGTACATCGCTACGATAAATGCCTTAATTTGTATGGTGACTATGTAGAAAAGTAGTATTTGAGTGTGGCTTTCATCTGTATATAATAAAATTTGTTTCCTATACTTTGTTTATTTTTTTATTCCAAAACGTAATCTACTTTCTGGATAGCCCTCGTATATTGAACCCAGCTCGATCTTATTGTCTAGCAAACTAGTTTCTCTTTTCTTCATTGAAGAAATGACTCCTTCTGCAATAAACCCTCCATTTCAGAAAGAACAAACATCACATTCTTCCAGTCTTGCCTCTTCATTCTTCAGATTTTAGCTTTTTGGTGGCTATATACAGTGTAGAAAGAAGACTTTCCAATTCTGCAAGATCATTCCACAGTCTGTTAGTGAAACATTAGGGTTATCTACATCTTCTAACATTCTCGTCTCCTGTTAATTCTTCAGATTGTAGCTTTTTTATGGCTATATACGGTGTTGAAAGAAGGGTTTCCAGTTCTGCAAGATCATTCCACAGTCTTTCTGTTAGTGAAATATTAGGGTTGTTTACATCTTCTGAAAACGTTCTTAATCCTAACAACCATTATATCATAAAATATGCACTTCTCCATTGTGTTGCTCCTTTTCCTGCTCTCTTCCTAATAATGGCATCAATTTTGGGAGATCTCACTGCTTACCTCAATTCACCAATGAGATTAGCAACTAAATGAATCAGTTTAATTAATAATGGCAAATATCAAGTCCATCTTGCTCCCTTATATTTATTTACTAATATGTAAATTAAATAGAAAATAACTATTTATTAATGTATATAGTCCATAAATAAAAATATTAACTCAGTTTGTCATTAATTTTTTTTTCAATTCACTTTAATTTCATTTCAAATTCAAACTGTTAAATAAAAACTGGAGTCGGAGTCGACGTGTTTTTCAGCGACTCAACTCCGACTCCTTTTACTCAAAAACCTACCTGACTCCGATTCCGACTCCACAGCCCTGCATAATGTGGCATTAGTTTTCATCTATGATGCAGATTCGAAAAAGATATTACTATTTTTAGAATAGAAATAGAGAGGTGTTCAAATTAAAAAGAGGAATTAAGGGGCTATAGCTAATTTAATGGATAATTAACAGGTACATATTATTTATCTTACACACACACACACACACACACACATATATATGCAACTCTGGTGACATAGCTAATTTGGAACTTGAACTCAAAATTTTGAGAAATGAAACCTTTTTAACCAAAACCAAAACCTTCTTTTGGTGAGTTTCCATACTGGATAATTGTGCAATTTTAGCTTTTACTTCTGTTGCCGCTTGGATGCTATTTCGATATTCCTATCGCAACAGTACCGAAAATGCAAATGTTCTTGAATAGGCCCAATTAGAGTGGTAAGAAAATTGTATTTTCTTTTATTCAATATGCACTGCACAAGCACATGCAAGTCTCTCGATTCTCAAGGTTCCTGGACACTAAAGTTGCTGGAAACTTACTTTGCCTTTCTAAAAGACAATCTGATTGGAGCTGCAAAAATCGGCTCTAGGCCAGCTGCCTGAAAGATACTCATACGTTACACAATTCTTTAAAAATGGGATCCCTTTCAACATTGGTGCAAAAGTCACTCTTTTTTTGGACTCGCCATACAAAATTCCTTGATTTTTCCATATTTTGATTAAAATATTTAAATTCCCCAACTTTTTGGTCAATTTTAAAATTCTCTGACTTTTCCCGGTTTTCAGGTAGCATGGTAACCTTGCCTTGTTCTAGCATTTAACAGCAGTTGTTTTCAGCTCTACAATGGCTAATAATATAATGCACTTCTCTACAATGCTTAATATTTTGTACTTATCTCTTCATCTCTAACAATTATGCAACTTACATTAGTCATCTCGAAGAAAATGCTTATTCTTAATTAAAAATAAAAATATTTGCATAAATGTTGTTTTCATCTACAAATATTTTTTGTAATCCATTATTTCTTTATACCCTAACTGCAGAATTTACACAAATAAAAAGCTTTATTCTAAGATTAGTAATTATATGATGATATTAAATTTCAATAGATAAAATGTATTATAATTTGTGCAGCAACATTTACTTCACATGCATTTTAAAACAAGAAATTCATGTAAAATTTTTCAGCAACTTGAAATATTTAATTAATTTTAAATTAAGCTATATGAGGAACCAGTTATTTAGGTGAAACATTAATTTAAAGTTAAATGGCCCCTGCTATGTACAGTCAAAAGTTGTTAATCCGGACTCATCGGGACTTTGGCGATTCCGGATTATCGATTTTTCCGGATTATAGATCATCAGTTTAAATCTGGTAAAATGGCATGCAGAAATTATAAAATTAAAAATATGAAACCGTAATTTACGAAATAAAGAATAATTATGATCCAAAGGGTATCAAAATTTACAAAAAAAAAAAGCTTAATATTTATTTGTTTACTTTATTAAACATTTCTTTCAATGTAAGTTGTTTAAGTTGCTTCGTTTTTTATGTGATAATACATTCTCTTTAATTCTATAAACAGACATAATTTCTTGTTCAGTTACAAAGTTCCGCTGTTCAAGTCTTATAATTGCTGTGTCGAGAATACCGACTAATTTGTCAATCGAAATTTTTTCGTTTTCAATAACCTCTGTCACTTTCTTCGCTATCGGAAGCGAATTATAATGACGAGGTATTTGATTTAAATCATATCAAAGACAGAGTACATCGAGATGAAATACTACATTGAGTAAGGAATTATAAGCCAAATAAAATAAAAACATCTGCCCTTAAGATAAGGATAGTGCTGACAGATCAACTTCCAATTCATTGCACACCGCTGCGGCGTTAAAGATAAACAAAGTTTAGATAAACAAACGTTAAAGTTTAGATAACCAAAGGATATTATGCCTTTATCCATTCTTTGCAGCAATTCCACTTTTTGTTTAATGGACTCCGAAACATACTTTCGCTTTGTATATCCTTTACATATTAATAAATATATATCGGAAATTCTATTTGACATAATCGAAAGTTCAAGCTTACTTTTATAAAATTGCTCTAACAGTCTGCAAAAAATAATAATCCGGATCCAATTCGAAGATTAAGGAACAACGTAATCTGCAACATTAACTGAAATAGATAATTAGATTAGCTTATCCGTTATACATTAAACGCGCATTCGTAAATGTATTTTGCGGACGTGCACACGCAAATTCGCAGCGATAAAGGTCTTACGCGCATGCGTCAACGAGACGCAGAAATTTTGTAGCTTTGAGGTCCGGATTATAAGTGTCCGAATTAACGACTTTTGACTGTATAAGAATAAAAACAGACTGATAACACAATAGAGACAGATGTATAACAATAAAAAGATATCCATAAAAGGATGTTTTATAAAGACTTTTATTATTTTAGGGCAGGATGTGAATTTTATTCTGCATTGTAATACAGCTATAAATTTAAAAACAAAATATACATAATGCACACCTTTATTATTTAAGGACTAGCAGGCCCCCCTCACCCCCAAAAAAGTTTTAAAAGTAAATGGTAGAGGTTACACAATTTTAGCATAAAGACTGCATATTTCAAGAATGTGGATAACATATTAGCACATTATACTGAAATTATGAGATAAAAACAAAACATTAAGATTGAAAGCAACTTACCAAATTCATTATTTCTAGGTATATTAGAAACATTGTAATCATTTGTTAAGCAAACAGTATCAAACTCAAGACCTTTTGCTTTGTGAGCAGTACTGAATACAACATCTAAAATACAGTGGGAAGAAATATTTATGTATTACTAAAAGCAATTTTATAATACATCAAAAGAAATATTGCAAAAATTTGAATGGTTACTTTACATGATTACAGAATGCTAAATTTAAAAGCATTTATATTTTGAAAAAAATGTATATACACATAATAATTTTCTCTTCTGTGATATTTTATTTAAATATTAGCATGATACTGTAAAAAGACTATAACTATAATTGTAGGAATGAGCTATTTAACTCTACACATTAAATTAATCAAGTTATAAATACATTTTACATTTTGTTAAAAATGCCACGTTCTGATAACGTACAACAAGTTATTAAGTTTTCTAATTTCCAACTATTTATTTGTTCATTAATTCAGAAATAAGTATATGATACTTCAACTGAGTTAATCATCAACATGATATGTAAATTTCTTCAGCTAAAAAGTTTAATTGTATATGCAGCTCATTTAATAGCTATGTTGACCTCCAACCAGTAGCTTAACAGACACTTTTGATAAAACTAATCTTCATTATTAAAGGATAACAACAGATTTGCTGAAAAGTAAGTCACAAGATGTGGATGCTAATGCAATAGAAAATTCACTATTTATTGCAAATTCTTGAGCATGGCCCAACCTAAAATTAATGCATGTCAGCCAAGCTAAATTAAATTGTTAAATTAGATTAGAAAGATAAAATTAGATTACTATCTGTTGTGTCTCATGCTGAAAGCCATTTAAGTCAGGAACTTTTAACCTCTCGAAGCCGGCTGGTACAGCAGTTGTACCAGGAGAATGACTTTCTCAGACGCCGGCATTGTTACAACTGTTGTACCATCCATGCCCTCCCCATTTTAGAGAATCGCCTATCTGTAGATCTTTGGGTGGTCCATTGTCGCTGCTCAGAGTAGCCGCTGGCTATGCATTATTTCCCTCTTCTTATCAGTTTGGCTACATTTTGGCAAAAACCGCAGGTTTCGTCTCGCGCCAATATACTTGAAAATTAAATATAGGCCATCTCTTTCTCAATCTGTCTCATTTTAATGCTAATTTTTTTAGTACTGACTTTTGCTATGATTAAAACGTCAGCGATTTTGCACGCTCTTTTAAGCTTACCATATTTAATGTTTTTTAATCATAACAAATAAGAATAGATTAATATTTTAGATTTAATGCCCTTCTAGAAAATAGGTAAAACCGCTTTTTATCGTTTATTTCTTTTTCATACTTATGAATAATAAGATTTTATTTTGACATTTTTTTGTGGAGTGCAAAAAACCCTTAAGAACTGTTTAACTCTTTCAAAGTGCTTCTATTATGCAGGCAATTTTGTCTGATTTATCAGGAGATAAATAAGAGACAATTGTATGCATAATAGTTTTTTGTGATTTTCATTCATTCAGTGATTGCTTTCAATGATTTTCATTGATTGTAAATTAAATAAAATCAATTTATCTTTAGACCCTCTTTTAGGATGAGATCTGCCAAAAAGTATTTAAATATCAGTAAAGCTCACGTTACTTCTAAATTGAATCAAAACATCAGTTACATTTTATAAAATTTCGGCCAGTTTTATTTGCTGAAATTCTTATACTCCTCAAGAGATAAAGGGAATTCAGACAAGTTGATAAAAAAATATCTTTAAAAAAGGTTGTTATTTTGTCTGTAATAAGGTGTATGTCAACTTACTATTAAATGTATGAAAATTAGGATTGGATTACGGAAAAGCACGCGAACGCTATCTGCTTAAGGGGATGGATGCTTTCGTGTAAACTTTTTTAAGAGAAAATTGTTCGCAGTTACGTTCCTGGTGGAAAACTCCACATGTAATCAACCCGTTCTTCGGTATTGATTAGGATTAATTTTGTTCGCTTACTGAATTACATCAAAGCACACAACATTACCTGTATAAGGGAGAGTTATGTCTTCGTGGAGGACTTTCTATGAGAAGCTGGCTTGCATTTACGTTACACAAAAATCGTGAATCCAACTATTTAGCTGGGATTCAAACCCAAGCGAGCTACAAGTGTTCAGCCACCTTTACCGCTCTACTGAAGAGCCCGTAAAAATATTGATAAAGGAAAAGTATTGAAATAACCGGTTTAATTTACTAACCTATATTTCTCAATTGACAGTACATAAATTACGCATATGAGGGGGATTATTTGTGAATAAATAAACTGTATTGCACTTTTCTCCACTATTTCATATTACGATGGAATTATTGCATTTCAAATTTATTTCTCATGAATTAATTTTGCTCTTCATGATTTTTGATATTTTCAAAGAGAAAATTCCACACTTTAAATAAAAAAATACACGAGAAGATACTTTATGCAAAATTTGGCGTAAACGGTTTTCTTAATTTTGCTTTGAAAATATTCCACGGTAATCGTTTTCATTACTGGAAGAAATATGAAAAACAGATTTACTACATTGTGTCAACACCCAGTACTTCCTCATTCTTTTGAAAACGTGAAGATTACTCTTTCTAAAATAAATTAGAAAATATATTATGTGCAAATAGAATATTCGTTGAAAATGAAATAGACTTCAACTTTTGGATATAACGATGGTTTTAGACGAAATTTCTACCTATAAAAAGAAATTGACGTATAATTAATTCTCCATGAACATTTAAAACTGTTCTCAAAATTCTTTTGATGATTGCATGTATAGGTCACGGATTTTTTTCTCTGCTAACATAAACAAAAACCAATTTTACAAAGAAAAATTCTCGTTAAAGATATACCTTCTTTGCCTGATAGTCCAATGTAATATTTGTTAAAGTTAAATGATTAAACGCAACCAATGTATCTCGGATTTTGATTTTTATATTATAATAACAAAATTATCGAAAAAAGCAGATTTAAATTTCTGTTATTGTTATGTAAAGCTTTATTATTGCTGTAAGTTCATCTCAAAATCTAATTGTATTGAATCTCATTCTAATCATCTAATGGTAATAAATATTATTATTATTATTTCATTAAATTAGTCATTACCATTATTTTATTAATGAAAATATGTTATTAAAAATCGCATTCCAGCCTGCAGACTTACAAATCTAGTCCATATTTACTATATTTTGTTAAATTTTGTTCTCGCTTTCTAATTTCTAATACGAAAATACGCGAATATAGATGAAGAGTGAAAGCAAAGTTAAAAAATTCACAAATTATTTACGAGATTGGTTAGAAATAGTGAGTGAAATATAAACATTGCATACATTTTGTTCTAAATAAAGTGTGCACTGGATATGCATCCAGTACTGCATATTTATTTAGAACTTCGTTTAAATGAAAGCAAAATAATCATCGAAAAAATTGCAAATCTAGCAACCCCTCTACTATGAGACGTAAGCGTCCGACAAACATGTAAATTTTACTTCATCCATGGAGGGGAACTAACGACTTTTCTCATTAGGAAAATGTCAAAGAGGGGGCAAAACTGTTTCAGATCGTGCCGGTCTGAAGGCTAATATTATGAGAATTTCGGCCCGGTTTTAGAAGGTTAATGGAATCCAAGTTCAGATGTTTCTTATAAGGTCTATACCAATTGACTCAAAAGTATAGTAACTATAGGGTACCCTCAGTGTGCTAGTATGATATGCAAATGTGAAAATATGATGTTAATGGATGTGTGAACTGGATAACAAAAAAAAATACTGTGACATGATAAAAGGCCATGCTATCATAAAGCTACAAGTTGACCTAACATAAAGATAATTCAAAATAAGACAGAAGAAAAACACGCTAAAGTAAAAGCAACAAGTTTGTGTTTGAGGTTAGGTTTTAGTCAAGACTCTATTGATTTCAAGGACAAATAAATACATGCCCCTCTTGATCAGAATCAAAGAAATTTGGCAGACTTCTTTGCTCCAGATGAAGAGGGACCTATACCTAATTTCCCTTGAAACCGATACAATCTTGACTAAAATCTATGCCAAATACACGGCTGTCTCTTTGCTAATTTTATATTTCAAATATTCAGATAGCTGAATGTCAAAGAAGACTGTATCATTGTCATTCTCACCCATTTAGAAGCCAACAATGATTACATGCAGTACACAATCATACTAACACCTACTGTGTTGTTGTGAGGGCTGAGACATTCCAGAATCAAATCTTGATTGGAGTAAATTTGGTTCTTAAGGCAGCCAATACACAGAAAGCAGAAAGAGTGGCCTGTGAACAACTGTATTTGGAGCATAGAGGATAAACCCTGTGTCAAGAGACATATTTCTCCTGATGCACTATCAGCACCATGTACCTTTTGTGGCTGCTGTAATTAGAGTTTTAGCACCAAATCCTTTAACAAGACATAAATAGGATATTGTGCTTAAACTCTATATTAGCAGATGGTAAGGTTTAAGGCTAAAAGAAATGGATATTTTCCTGTGCAAAAAAGCCATTATAAATTATAATACACCCAAGAGATAAATTAAAATGTAATTAATTAATATTCTTAGAAAAGTTCGGAGAATTTCTTTCCAGCATAACTATCAAGTGCAAAACATTAAACATTTAGAGAATATTTCTTTTGTCATCCAGATGACGCTTCATATTTAATAGTTCACATAGCTAGAAAATATGTAAATCTTTCTTTGTCTTGTCAATAGATATATCAGTAGTTCTTCTGACATAAATAACAGGAACAAGATTACTTCATCTTTTAATTACTCTGCATCATAAAAAAATACAGATTTTTTCCCTCACAGGGAGAGGGTTATTAATACAATTTATTACATGAGACTTTAATATCATTAGTCTTATTATTAACAATAATAAAAATACCAGGTGTTATTGGATTTTTCATGATTTTCATCGATTTCTACTTTCTGTAACAAATTACAAATGTAATGAAAACTGCTAAAATATGTCAAATTTTGAATTGTATGACTGCTTCATGCAAGTAAGTAGAAGTGAAAGATCAAAGCTCACATTAGTGTTCATGTCACAATCAATATATTGTATTGACTCTAATGGCTACTGATGTCATAACAGATATATCAAATCACCTAAAATGGTTGTGTTGACATCATATGCACAAGTTATATGAGTTGTGTCAGGCTTAGTGAATTGTTGTTGAAGCCATGAATATATGTATATGATTCTGGCTTCTATTTTTATTAAAAACTATTAATGTATTATCATTACAGTTGCATTCGTTGCTGGTGGTGATTCAGATTATAATATGAATTTGGTAAAAATTGGGTAAAAGTTGATAATATGCTGTACACAGAACATTGCGAGGGTGGGCTTACTGATGCAGACGGGTGGCAGTATGCCTGTGATGTCACAATTTATCCCTGCAAATACAGCAATGCATATCATTTGTTATTTTTTGTTGGGAATAATAATAATCAGTTATTTATTATTCTAAATATTCTTCATTTCTGAATTATGTTTATAATATTTTAGCTTTAATTTCATTGCAAATAAGAATAATATTCTATTTTAAATTAACACAATACAATGCTATAATTCTACTACTCAATAAACTGGTAAATAACATAACATTCCTGCAGACTCTTATCTCGTACAACTTCAACGTTTTTCAAAATTTTGTCCTTTGGCATTAATAAAAATAGTTTTAAAAAAAGAAAATAAATTTACATCACGGCACACTTCAATCCACCATCTGCATAAATTATTTTATGGTTACAAAACACCATATTCTTTTCAGTTAATAGGATAATTGGACATCTTAAAGCATTTCTTTTCTAATGAAAATGCAGATAACATTAAGTCACAGATGATCCTTTCATGTAACTCTCTATTCTTTAGTTATACCCTTTTACTTTTATTCCCACTTATGTGTTTCTTCTAATAGAAAATTCTCAAGTGCATGTTCTTCAGAGAAAAGTTGTAGCATTTTCCATAGATTTGACAGTCAGATTTATTAGCACTTTAACTTCATAATTAAGGCTAATTCTGATGATGCATTATTTTTTGACTCTCCTTTTCATAACTAGAAAAATCAGTAAGAAAACTTGGTAATTGGTGTTAAGACTATAATTTACATTCTAAAAAAAAAAAAAAAAAAAAAAAAAAAAAAAACTTCAGCTTCACAAATAAATCAGACTTATTTCAAAGTAAGAGAATTGACAAGAAACTGCCCTTCAACAATGAGTTTTTGAAACACGTAGAAGTAATGAATGTTTCTTTGATAATGAAAACTTCACCCCCCCCTCCATTTAGTACATAGTTGTTCAGAAATCTATCTGTTTATGTTGACCGATCAAAAAGTGGAATCAGAAGCTTACCAGTTCACTCATTTGGATGAAGTTCTTGGGACTCCTCAAATTGATGTAGCATAGCACAACACTTCAATAATATATGATGAAAGTGGGCTGTACGAATCTGGAGAATTTAGCTTAGTAGCTCAAAAAAATATGACCAATTAAAAGGATTTTCAGTACTGAATAGCACAATCAAACTTAGTGCAGATCCACAAAGACAAACTGAATGCATTTCTTCAGCAGAAAGTGAAATCATTTATTCATACTGTTACTAGAATAAATTTAGCTATGATAAGCTGGCTGCAGCAAAATGTGCAGTAAAGAAGACCTTCAGGTCTGTGACAATGATATGAGATTCCCCCCCTTTAATCTTCAATTTTTTGTACAAAATTATAAGTAATATGCCTTGTATATTGTGTAGTATTCAGTTTATGAAGTTGAATCCCTTCTGTCTTGTCTGCGGAATCAGTGTGATCATAACTCTGTTAAACATTACTGATAGCTCACCTCAAAGGCTGGCATCTCTACAATAGTTATTAAAATTCTTGATGCAATAAAATGTGCCATGATTTGAAATTTTAAATCAATCACATCAGAAAGAGTATAAACACTATCTTATACAAATAAATTATGGAAATAAATTGATTATTCTAACAATTTTCTTTTAAATGCAGACAAAAAAGATACCAGTATTTTTTAAGTAACACAAACATTTACGGATAAATTTAAAATCAAGACAAATTTTAAAAAACTCACTAGCCAACTCAATTGGATGGGTGCACTTTTCTTTAATTATGCTGATGTATTTAGAAATACAAGCACCATATTTACGAACAAGTGCAATCTTGCCCAGGAGGTCATTATCTTCAACATTCTTCGCATAATTTTCCAACTCAGTATAACTCTTGAACTTAGATAGGAATTTGTCACTTATTACTGTTATACCTATAAAGGAAATCAGGGTTCAAAACCACATTTTAGTTTAAAAAATAAGCACCTATAAGCACTTTTCAAGCACATTTTAAGAAAAAAAATAAGCACCTGTCTAATTACATCATACACAACTGCATAACCTTAAAAATTAGACTTGTAATTTAAATATGGAGAAATGCAGTATTTATTAAGAGAGAATAAGCATTACCTCAACCATAGAAAATAATATTTTTTTTTTTTTTTTTTTTTTTTTAAATTTTAAATAACAGTTCAATTTACAGAACCAGTTTACAATGACAGAAAAAAAACTATGCAGAACTAAACTATATTATAAGATTTAATAATGAAATTTAAGTTCAAAATAGAGAAAATAAATAATAATAAGACATATTTATTATATTAGCTTGGAACCTAATAATAAATACAATTTATCTTTCCACTCATATTGATATTTAAATAATTTAAATCTAAATTCTGAACATTTTCTAAATTTTCATTGTATATCAGTTTTCCCTTAATAGATATTGCAAGCAAAGTAATTTAAGCAAAAAAGAGGAACATTTCTGAAATTAGCAGGCAGAAATTTGCTACATGCAGTCATCCTTTAACAGTAAAAGCTTAACTAACCCGCATACTTGGAAATTGTTGAATATTTGGACAGTCGAGCGTAACTTGAAAAAGAGGAGCGGAGGGGGTAGACTGTAGCCGCTCTTTAGATTTTTCCGCTAAATAAATGCTTTTGACATTTCGATATGTGCATCATATAAAAATAAACCAAAGGAACTAAAAAATATTCTGCTTAGCAAGCGCAGTAAAACTCTTTTAAATGTTCATAAACAAATCTCGGACCGAACATCAAAATTAATTATCTCTGCAAAATATCGCAAACGTTATTGTGCAATACATGCGCTGTAATTCTTCCCTACGTGATATTATGCAATCGGAATCAACAGCTGCCGGTATTGCGAGAATAAAGAACTAAATAACTGGGGTGTTTTTCATTCTAATTTTCAACAGATGGCGTTAAATTTCTCGAATAGAATCATTCTTCGATTGGGTTGGTAGACCACAGAACTTTTAGTCCTATTCAATCCAGATTGGAAAGTGACAGGAAAAAAAAAAAAGAAAAGAAAAAGAAAAGAAAAAGAAAAAAAGGTCCATTGCTTGTTTTGCAGCGAACTGTAATAGCTTCAATATTCAAGATTTTGTGGAGAAAGGGGAGACCTTCCAACCTTCATACTGTATAATGTATTGGCCAAAAAAATGAAATTATTTTGACTATTCGATTACTTTTCCTTTATTTAAGCCATTCTGAATATTATTTCTTGGAAAGCTAATCTGCGTTAAAACACAACCATTTTCGGAAGTTTACTATACTTCAGCAGTTACTGCAACTATGCTATTATAAACATTCATACATATGCTCATAATATAAGCATAACGATCATAATAAACAAGAATATGAACTGACCAAGCAGAACGAGAATGCAAATTTTTAAGATCTTGATAGAAATTCAAACGTGTGTAGTATTTGGGGTGGGAGGAAAAGAATGCCGAACATACCGGAATTTTCTACTGCTTTCGCAATTCTTTGACCAATAGAACGACGAGCACCTGTCTATACTCTTCGCGCACACCAAAGGTTACGTTAATCCAGAGAAAGGGGGACAAGCTATTTTTGGGAGTATGATTCACCATCTGACATTCCATATTAGGAAGAAAGGTTGTTTATTTAGTTTCGACTTTGGTACAGGGAAAAATAGCACGTTCATTAAAAAAAAAATCACTAAAAGCAAAAAATAAGCACTAAAAAAAAAAAAAAAAAAAAAAAAAAAGGCTTTAAAGAAAAAGTAAGCACCTATAAGGGCCTTTATATTTTATTTTCAAATATAAGGACTTATAAGCACTTATAAGGACCGCTACGAACCCTGGAAATGTTAGTTTATCAAATAATTTCGAATTTTGTTCACAGGAGACACTTATTTGGATAGGTCAAGAGAATTTTAAATTTCAAAATAATTAAACTATAATTTTTGATTTTATGAATTTTAGCGCTGCTATTTTACATTGTTAAAAATTATTTTTTAAGTACATTAAGACTTTTGCTATAATGAACAATAGTTAATATTCATATCCTTTTTAAACATTCAAAAAAATTGCATCTCAAATGCACATACTGTTATTTAAATGCTTTCAACATAGATTACAAAAATACTTACTGTAAGAATAATGTCTAAAATTCATACTGTAAAAAACCAAATATTTACTTTTGTAGAATAAAAAAATATAGTAGAGTTAAAGCAAATTTCACTTTTTTTTTGATAAAATCGGCTAAATACATTTACTTTGTCTTACTACTGAAGCAAATTTGCTGCTTTAAATAAATTTTTAACTCAGAAAAGTTCACTTAGATACTTCATTTCGTACTTTAATTTAATAGGCATTGTGCTTTGTAAGGAAAATTCCAATGCCATCAATATTGTTATATTATAAGTTGGAAGAAATACAGTCCACTGATGACAAAATATTTATATTCGCAGCTGGCGGCATTCCAAAAATAATAATTAGGTACTTTCTTATTTAATAAAAAGAAGCACTTGAATAAGAACTTCAAAAATATCTCTTATTTTATATGTTCCAGTTCTTCTATTCCCCTACCCATTCTAAACTACTAAAACAATTATTGTACTCTTGACACAAATTGAGATTTAAAAATATTGCAAATATAAAAAATATGTATGTAAGAAAATGAAATTAAATTGATATTCTGATTTTAAATCACTACAGACGCACTCAGCTGATCAATGTTTGCGCACATAAGTAATGATTTTGAAAATGACAATAATCAAAAACAATCTGATAACTAAGCAGTTAAAAGATTTCAGTTCTCTTTATGTGTTCCATGAGTTAATATCAGCAATGAGCAATCAAAAAAGTTTAGTTCTCTCTGAGCATTCCGTAACATTTAACATCAATATCAACACATCAAGAAATTATTCCAGACAGATCATTAGGGACAGAAAACAAAGGCTCAGTGTTGTATGGGACACAGCTATGCTGGACGGCCATTTTACTTAAACCTTCCAGGATGCGCGCTTGGCAATTTTACATGAGCACGCGCGCGTTGTATTTTTTACGACATCCGTTATTTTACCGTTTTGGGCATGAAAAATGACAGAAATCAGTGAATATTGATAATAAATTTGTTAAGAAATAAAATATTAATCTTATTATTCCAAAATACAAATGATATCACATTCAAATATAAGTAAATTATTTTTAAATTCTTATGTTAGTGAGATGGAAAGGCAATAATGTATTTCATTATAGAAAATTTTAAATTTATTATTTTAATAACTATATTTTAAAATAAAAGCTAATTTTAATATTCATAAAAGACAAGTATAGATAATAAACAAGAAAAACACCTTGGTAGGAAAAAAAGTAAGTTTAGCAAGGAATTGTTTTGCAAGGAAATTTACTTGTTACAAAAACACACTTTAAACTAACTTTAATGTTTTTATTTATTTCTAAAAAATAAAAATAAAAGAAAATAAGGAATGGAAATTCCTATTGTTCTCCCATCCAAAGATTTCCTTGTCTTCCTTTTCTTCATGAGATAATTCTTGAAGAATTCGAGCAAAATTGGTTGCACATATATTTTTGCCATGAAAACCAATATAAAATTTACAGAACCAAATGTATTCAAATTCAAATAATACACATCAATTAATAAAAAAAAAATTACAAAATATTTTCCAGATTTTAAAACACAACCATGCGCATGTCGTAACTTTTATGAAAAAGCTGCCACGTAGCACAAAAGCCCAGTTAAAAAAAAAAAAAAAAAAAAAGGTCAAACGACTTCTGTTGGCACATTTCATGATGTGGGGAAGAGTAGAAAGTAGGAATAGAAATTACCTTCAGATGTCTCAGCTTTGATATGCAAAAAATGTGCATTAAAAACTTAATTTGTCTTAAATTTTTGCACATATGCACGTGCTGGAAGGTTAAAGCATTATTTTATTAATTGGTGAAGTGTAGGCTTCCTAGTTCTACATAATACTTTAGAAGATTAATATATTTGAACCATTGAGGTTTCTTTGCAGCTACAAGAAGTTTTATGAATTATTATCCTGTCATTCTGTGTCATAATATTACAGTTAGCCACTTATCTTTCAACCCCGAATTTTCTATTTTTTAAGCATGTGATTTATTTGGAAGAATTTAATACAATAATATACAAAATAATTGTGCGTAGCTTTTCCATTCAGTCTTTTGCTGCTTGTGAATTAATTTGAAAAAAAAAAAAAAAAAGCTATAGCAACAGATGAAATTTTTTAAGCCACCTTAAGAGAGATGCAGCTATTTCTAGAGCTTTTTCTTCCAAAACTACAAGCAACTGGGAGGAATATTTTGGAAATGCATTACAGAAAACTATGTCAGATATTGGAGAATATAAAACTGAGCAATTTATTTTCCTTAATTTTAAACATTTTGAGTTTTTTATCGGAATTCATCATCTGCGTTATGAGAATTTCTTGATCATTTTTAATACATTAACAATTTAAAGTTTATTTACTTTAAATTTTCATCCAATATCTCAAAACAAAGTTTTCCTTGACTGCACATTTCAATAATATCCACCACCCCCTTTTTTACATGTAAAAGCTATCATGAAAGTGAATGGAGTTATCTGGTTACGAACATTTTCACACCATCAATTTAAAGATATAAAAGAATAATTGATTTAAAGAAATGGTACAGAATCAGCTCTATTACTTTAATCTTCATAATTACCTTCCTCTAAATATAGAAGTCTTTTAAGGACTGTTTTTGAGAGAATTCTTTACACAATATTACTGAGATTAAATATGACAAAAAAATTAATTAAAGAGCCGAATAGATGCGAAATTCCTTATATATCTACATTCAAAAGTTCAGAAAAGCAAAACTGCCCCACCCTTAACAGAGATGTCCTTTACTAGAAGTGTCCATGATGAGAAGTTTGA